GTACCTTGAAAAATCGTTCAGGAGGAAGATTTCCATATTTGAATTGTGTTTCAGGACTGCCTTTGTGTTTTGCAAGGTGTTTGGATTAAACCTATGGCAAAAATGCAGCCCTTGGATGTAGGACCTGTGAAATCCCATGTAAAATCTCTGGTAGGATTGTTCAAGGATACAAAGACCTTTCATTTTCTTTACCCTGTTTGCAAAAGTACTTAGAACCAATTGCAAATTGGGATCTGTCCTGTTTGTAAAAGTAGCCACGTAAGTGTTGTTACTGTTTTTCTTCACATGGAAAACTGTGGTTCAGTTTGAATATTAAAAGTTTCAACGTAAGAGGGAAGTTATGACTTAAATGCCAAGTTCTGACCCAGGTCTAATATCCACAGTAAAAGTTCCCCTGGGGAGCCGTTGAGTTTTCAGCTTTTCCAAAAGCATATTGTTTCTATACAGAAATGCAACGAGATGGTACAGTGAAGTCCTCCTTTTTCCCACTTCTTTTCAAAAGAGTATTTGTGTTTTTACAAGTGTGTGTATCTTGAAGCCTTCTGCAATTTCACATGCCTGTAGTGTGGTTCATTGAATAATGCAGGTTTTGCTCCAATCTCCAAAGTCACCAAACGCCTGAGAAAAAGTTGAAAAATGTCACTAATTATAAACTGAGTGAAAAATTGCAGTAAACCAGGCTTTTGAAGGGAAACCTGAATTACTTGTCTTGTGGTTGCTTTTCTGCTGCATACAGCTTTCATTTTCTTCAATCGAACCCAGCCTTACGTGTGCATTAATGGTAGCATAAATATTTGTTTCTGTGATGACAGATGAAGGTATTGATTTAATCACAGGTGTAAATTTGACTTTTACATCTTCTGGCAGAAGAAACGTGGCATCAGATGGAGAAACACCAGGGCTTATTGAGAGGTCTGAAGTGCTAGATCCCAAATGTTTGCATGTAAGGAACTGTAATCAGGTTAAAAGAAACTACAAATGCATGTAAAACAGACGTGAAAAATCCATAGCGTAGCGAGGGTGCTGTGAGCGAGTGGGTTTTGCTTGGTTTTACCCACAAGTTAATGGAAAAGCATGCTCTCTGTGGAGGTAAGGGTGAGATGGGGAGCCATTAGCTGTTGTTTCTGCCAGAGTGAAAAATACCAAGACAAAATAATTGGGCTGGAGAGAGCATTAGATAGACCATGAGATGTAGAAACTGGATTATTTGTTTTATCTTGCTGCAGTGGTCATTCACCTGATAACATTAGTTTCCCTCAAAATATAATTAACATTTTATTCCCATAAGCATCGTTGTATATTAGATGTTAGCAGGACACAGAACAGTATTTTGTAAATACTGAGTTTGGTGCATAGATAGCTAATTCAGTGCTAATGTCATTATCAAAGGTTGTGGAGGAAGAAAGTCCTAAAGGGCCTATTCCTCTTGAAATCATCTCCTGTGATGTGACTACTGGTGCATCTTCTGCAGAGACTTGCATTTATTATTCTCCTTTAGAAATGTTAGAAAAGGAATTTTTAAAAAATGTCAAATCAGTTCTGTGATTTTATTTGCTTCCTGATTAATCCTGGTCTCTGGAAAGCAAAACGTACATTCCCAATTTCACACCTAGTTACATCTTCTGTTTGCTTTCATCACACGCATGGCTGTTCTCAGGAATGGTGAACATAAGCATAAATGATGCAGTATCCCTCTTTGATTTTGAGTGTTTTGCTTTGAAATTAATGGAAATGTGCAGATTATTTGTAATGCAACATGTAAACAATTGCTATGTACATCCACTCTTTGTAGTGTCAAGGCAGAGTTTTGAACAAGACTTCTGTCTGTTTGCATAAAAACATAAGAGAGTACAGCTTTATATATCCTGACTCTTACGTCAGCATGGTTTTTTTTACATGCTATACTCAAATGGAACTACTCTGTGGCTTGCCTTCTTTCTATTAAAAGGAAGCTGCCCTTGCAGAAGCAGTGACCTTTAAAAAGCAAGTTTCGAGTAATCCCTTTATTTTCCTGAGATCATATAGCACAGTATCCAGTTGCAGGCTTTTAAGATGGAATGATTGCAGGCTTTGTCTGCTCACCCAGATTGCATTACGTTTTGTTTGACAAAGAAAACCCTAAAATACTTATACCTTCCTTCCTAGGTTCAGAGCATTGTGCTCTCTCTGTGTTGAGGATGCAGAGTAGTTGCCATATCATCCCAGCACCGCTGGGATTTATTGAATTTACTTAATTGGCCTTTATCTCACAGTTACACTTTAACGCTTCTTTTGAAGGAGATTCAAAAAGGATACAGTTACTCCTTTTCTAATTCACTTTGAGAATTCGGTTACTCATTTCGTTATCTTCCCTTCTTTTCCTGGTAGAATATTCTGCATAGCCACAGCTGAACATTTGAGACTTCTGTAGCGAGAGATTTCAGTCCATGGAGCTGCTAACTAGAAAGGCAAAGGCCTGTGGCAAAGCAGACTGCATTTTAAAGTGGAAGCTGTGTTTTAGGGCAGTATGGAGTCTACCAGCAGCTATAGAAGCCTGTGTGTAGGTGTTACAGATATTCAGGGCATTGGAAAACCGACCTGGAATGGGCAAGCCCATTTCCCTAAGTCCTCTTGTGCCTCCATCACCCACAGCATCCAAGTGACTCATGATAGAAAGCTCTCAGTGTCTTCTGTTGAAGTCGAATGTAGAATTGCCTGTTACTTGGTATCCCCACCCCGAAACAGGACTTTTGATGTGTGTGAAAACCATGTTGCTTCCTTTGCATGAAGTGGGAAGATCATCCTGTTTAACAAGCTCATTGCTTGCTGTGTCTTCAGGGCTAACACATCTGACAGTGCACAGATGCACAACTCAGCTGTTTTTGCACAACACTCATTTAGACACCTGGACTAATTTTTGGAAGGTCCTATATCAGATTAGTGGATTAATTCTAGGTTGATTTTAGCTTTCATATAGTACAAGAAATTGTGGAGGACATTAGCTTGAGGATAAGGTGACTTTCGTGGATGAAAGCACCATGTGGTGCTTACCTAAATAACATGATCATCATTCAAATCAAGGTGGTTTTTACTTGCTCAGTGGAGCAGTTGTCAGCACAGTGGTGTATGCACAGCTAAGAAACTAGCGTGTCGGAGCAGCTGATGCCAGCTCTCCAGCAGAAAACAATATGGAAATGACCAACACCTCTCAGGATCCTCTGAGAGCCAAGTGAGTGAGAGATTAGTAAACAGGAGTGAGAAAAACTGGGATTGAAAAGAGGCTGAGATGCAAGAACTTGCTTAAAACAAGAAAGCTCACTGCTAACCTTCAGGGTTTCCAGGGATAATTGCCTGGAGCTGTTCCCCTACTCTTTTTGGCTGAAGATCAGACTTGGCAAACTTAATTCATTTGTTGTCTTTATTTTACTTAATTGGTTTCGGGCTTTTTTTTTTTTTTTTCCTTGTCTATTTTCTTTCTTTCTTTTTTTTTCCCCCTTATTTATTTATTTATTTATTTATTTATTTTTGAGTATTATGAAAATCAGTCAGTCCAGTCTTCAGGAGAAGTAATTTCCAGATAACTTCTAGGAGATTAAATGTGTTCTTTGCTGCTTATCTCTGCACTCAGTTCCCAGTATTGCCCCAAGGGACTTAGCCATCGGTCCCTGCAGTCCCTGCGCAATCCTTGCTGAGATCTGGCCTGTCCAAAGGGTGATTCAAAGACTCTTGGCCAGGCATGGGCTTATCTTGCTTTGGGGAAGCTGCTTTTTCTTCCTCCCTGAATTTTTCCCAACCCTTTTTTTTTTCTCACTTGACGTTATTTTCCTCATCTCTGGCATGAAGTAATTGGGGTTTTGTGGTTACATTTCCCACAGCTACTTTCACCTACATGGCTGGCAGGGATGATTTAAAAAAAAAAAAAAAAAATCCCAAACAGCACAACATGAAAAGTCTCTGCAGTATCAGACTGAAAACAAAGAAGCAAGTCTGTTTCCCATGCACATGTGTGCTGCAAAGGGCAGATAACCTTCCAGGGCTGCATCTTACAATAATAAGCAGAGCTGTATAGCTGTTTGCATTCCTCGGCTTCCCCAAGCTCACTGTGAACTTCTGAACTGTAAGCAGGGATTGCAGCTCGGTGATCACTGTTTAAATACTTATGGTTGCCAATTGCAAGGAATTAGCATCACTATGCAAGCTGCAACACCTCGGTGATATTTATGGAGAGCGATTGAATTCTAAAGATCAGAATGGCCTGCTGTCCTGTTCAGCGCTTCCAGAAGCAGGCGCTGGAAGGTGCCTTGGCTTCAGCGAGTGCACAAGGCAAAGTTAAGGAGCATAACTGAAAGTGTTCTGTGTGTGCTGAAATGCATACCTGCAAAGCAGCTGAAGGATGGCAATGTGTAATCAATATGTAATTCAGTTGTGGTAATATAGGCCCATGACACATTGGAAAAGTGCTTGAATAGACAAGGTGTGGGGTTGATGAATTTACAAATGCTTGAAAAGACAAGGTTGAGGTATAAGCCACTAATATTAGTTCCTGCTTTTATTTTGCTCAAGTGGGCAATGCTGGTCAGATCCTCAGCTGCTGAAAATCTGTGCGAGTCTACTGCTTTTTTGGGATCATGCTGATTTGATTTGCTCAGAACAAGCTCATCCTCTTGAATCTCATTTCTCCTTGCATTTTGCCAGCTGCTGGTTTATCTGAATCAACACGTAGTGGAATCCAAACTTTTCCAGAAATGCCAGCAGTAACACAAGTTGGTTGCTCAGCATTCATTACGAGCTCTTCATGCGGACTTAGCCCTAACCTGGGGTAAATCATTACTGCTCTAATTGAGGCAGTAGGCAGCATGATTCCCAGCTGTTAAAAATGGCCAAATACCACCAAAGTGAAAACAGGCCCCACTGATTTGCAGTAGCTAAGGATAACATGCTGATGAGTCTTGAGTTCAGAAAGGGCAGACCGTCTTACTAACCATGGTTTTGTCTGTTCTGTTTTTTCTCCTGTCTTGCAGCACCTTCTCCAGTCAGTAGTGTGAAAAAAGGGAAGATAACTAAAAATAGCATCTCCCTTTCCTGGCAGGAGCCAGATCGACCCAACGGCATCATCCTGGAATACGAAATCAAATATTTTGAAAAGGTGTGACGGACTGATTGCCGAGCATCCCAAGTACCTTCTCTTTCCTGTCCTCTTCTTCTGGTTATAATTATCTGAGTCATGGGAAGGAATGGAGCAGTTTTATGCATAAATCAATGTCACATTGATTTTGCAGTAAATGATTAGGAAGATTTGAAATGAGGGTGTTGTTTTCCATTAGCGTGCCGCTTCTCTTGAACAAATACATTAAATCTGTGTCAGATTCCTCCTCAGCCTTATCACATTAAGGTAGAACCTGTCCAGTTGTTAAAAATAGGAGGGTTTGGGGATCAAGCTTCTATATCCTCTTGGAAATATCAGGCTATCCTTTGCACTTGGTATTTCAATTCCTCACTTGATTTTGTATCCAGGATATAAGGAAGGGAGGGAGGGTTAAAATGAGACAGTTTCTGTTCTGATGTGAAGAAGGGCATCATGGCTTTTAAAAGCTTGCCTTTTTTTTTATTTTCCCTACTCTAGATCTCTGTGTAACGAGAAACACTTTTCCTACAGAGGTTGACCATCTCTGCCCCTGTTTCAAATGGTGACATCTTTTCTTATTGAAAAATTAGTGAAGTTTAAAACAAAATGCCAATAAATGAAGGCTCCGAGGTGACCTGATAGAGATCTTTTGGTATCTAAAGGGGAGCTACAGGAAAGAAGTGGACAGACTCTTCATCAGGGTCTGTGGTGATAGAATAAGGGGAAATGTTTTCAAACTCAAAGGAGGTAGATTTAGCTTAGATATAAGTAAAAAATCTTCTACAGTGAGGGTGTTGAGGCACTCTCTAAAAAATGGAAGAAAATAGTGAAATTGAGTCACAGTTCTCTCTCTCTCTTTTTTTTTTTTTTTGTGTGTGTGTCAAATTTCTGTTTTATAGAAGATCTTTAATTAGTTTTATTGCATAGGTGAGGTCACTCAGCAGCACTGGACCACCTTTCTCTTCATCCTCTTTTTTCTTTCTTTCTGGGAGAGATTCAGTTCAGCAGCCCAAGCAAACCTGGGAAAGATTAAAAAATTTTCAGCATCAGGATAAAATGTTTGTTTTTTTCTTTTCTAACTGAGAGAGCTTGGACAGGGTATGAGTGGCTTAAATAGCGTTGAGCCCCCAGCTTTCTTCCCAGAAACCGCCAGTGGTGGAGAACCAGCTGGATTTGTCAGCAGTCCAAATTTTGGGCAAGAAGGTGCTAACCAGCCCAGTGTTTTCTGACCTGTTGTAAGTCCCATGGGGAGCTTTAAGGAGAGGTGATCTGCATTTTGCAACTGAGGAGGAGGAGTGAAACCAGATCCCAGAGCAAAAGTTAGAGAAAGCGTGCAAGGTTTGGGTGCAGAGTGTCTGACATGTTCATTAGGATGTGTGGGAATGGCACAGAACTGCACCAGGGGATGTTCAGACTGGGCATTAGGAAAAATTTCTTTACCATGAAGGTGATCAAACACTGAACAAACTTCCTGGTGAAGTGGCTGATGTGCTCCGTGCCTATCAGTGTTCAAGAGGCATTTGGATAATGCATTCAATAACATGCTTGAATTTTTGGTTAGCTCTGAAGTGGCCAAGAAGTTGGACTCCCTGATCTTTGATGGTTCCTTCCAGCTGAATTATGATATTTTGAAAAAATCAATTGGATGTCATTTACTGGGGTACTGGAAGCACTGCTATAGCAAAATGGTGGGATTCCAACAAAGCACAAAGAATCAGGATATGACTTTACTGGAACTGGTGAATTTCAGATTTTTAATTGACTTTGAATGAATGCTGTGGTGTTCTGTCTCCTTACCTTGGAGTGGCCAGGGAAGATTAGACTCTAAACTTTAATGATGAGCAAATAAGTAAGGCTGGAAAAGTATATGTTTGTTCTGTTTAGTTTCTTTTCAAACAAATGATAGGGTTTTAGAATCTTGTATTTGTGATCCAGAATTTATTCACAAGTAGCTTCAGTAAATAGTTCTTAAAGTGCAAGTCATTCATGGGAAGGTTGCTACAGTCAGTCTGAGTCTATGCTGTCTTGATTTATTTGTTTCAGGCTAGTAGCAAAGCTTAGTGTCTTCTGTAGGAAAGCTCAAGTGTTTAAATGTTTGCAGAGCCAGCAGTGTATTGAAAATCTAATTGGGCAGACATACAAGCAAATATATGAACTAATATTCACTTAGTGCTTTTTAACTATTCATTCAGTTGTATTTGGGATGTCATCCTTAATCCTTCTTGTTTGCTGTTACTGTCATTTATATTCTCTTGGGTTTGAGCCCTTTATAACAGTGAATTCACACTGTTCATTTCCAGTGGATGAGAATGATCAATTTTAAATGTTTCAGAAAACTGAGATTCATCAAATCACATTCCTTTAAGAGAATTCATTCCTTAACAAGAAAAAAAGGGCAGGTAGATACAAATACCTCCAATACAGTCCTGCTTAGCTATAGGCTTCAGTGAGGAAAAATATGTGATTCTACATTTGGAGATTCACAGGGCCTCAGACAGATGTGTTACTCTCTGTGGAAAGTTGCCTGTTAAGTGGGAAAGAAAAAGAACAATCAGTTCAGGTCCTAATAGAGATGCAGAAATCTTGGTGGAAAATTGCCCCAGACTGCTGTTTACTTCATAATAATTTAGATTTGAGAGGGTATGGTGAATAAAAAGCAGTTTCCTAGTTTGTAGTCCTTAATTTATGAGCTCTTGTCAAGATTATGTGTTACGGTAAATAATTCTAAGAGTAATTACTAAGCATTTGAGTGAAATTTTAATCAAAGAACTGAAACTCTTTCACATTAGAAACTGATTTAAATTAAGATTTATTTCAAGCGAATTTTCTTCAAGTTCATTTCTTCAGAAAAACACTGCAAAATTAGTTATCTTCCTGTAGCTTTAGTTGGCTGTTCCTGGCCAAGATCTAATTCGTGGCTCTAGAAATGCCAGCATAAAGTTGTACAATGTATAATATATTATTCTCTTTTAGACCTAATTACATTACTGTGAAGTAGTTTTTGCTATAAATCAAAATCCCTCTTTAAGGCAAAGGAACTGTTTTCCGCTTTCCAGTGCCTTGGGACTGATTTTTGTTTGTAGTCTGAACCTTTCAGTTGCTCAGGCATCTCTATGCCAACTGCACTGCCTTTTAAGACTTGCACATCCAGTGTAACAGAAAGCTGCCCCCACTACAGTGCCAGTTCTGGTCCTGTGTGTTGTTATTTATGGGTGAAAAATACCTCGCAAACTTCCTGGAGTCAATGCCTATAAAAGCTGCAAGGCAAGGGAAAAACAGATCTATCCTTTTGAGAGTAAGGGCCTTCAGAGGGTTATTTCAAGGGGAAGAGATCCTTAAAAGTGCATATTTCATCAATTCTCTGTAACACTGTTATGGGAGTTGTTAAGAGTCTGTTCCATGAGACCCAGTATTTGTGTGTTTGAACTCGTGTTTTTTGTTGGGGTTGGGAAAAGGATCAGGAGACAAGCTACACCATCATCAAATCCAAAGAGACCACGATTACGGCAGATGGCTTGAAACCAGGCTCAGCATACGTCTTCCAGATCCGTGCCCGGACAGCTGCTGGCTACGGTGGCTTCAGTCGAAGATTTGAGTTTGAAACCAGCCCAGTGTGTAAGTCCTTTTAATTACTGTCAGTTCATGACCCTGAAATGGCTACCAGCAAGAAGTCAGTTGATACCTTTACAGAGAGTTCTGCTGATCTTGTGCTTTTCTCCTTTCTGGTCTCATCCCTTGAGTTATTATGCATCAGACACACCATGGCTGTACACTGGGTGGGTTAACACATCTGTCCTTGCCTCCTTGTTTCACATGTTGGGGCAAGAGTTGAGGCACCAGGAGATTGTTAGGCTCCAAAAATGCCTTAGAAAAGCTTAGAACTGGCTTAGAAAAGCCCTGTATTTGGGAGAGATATCAGTGTTGAATGGTTGCTATTGGCTTGCCAGTGAGTAAGAGAGGGTGAGCATACTCTCAGCCCCACGCTTGTACTCCTCATAGGCAGAGGGGAACATGCAACACCAGTGTGAGGGAGGACAAGGCCAGGGTGGCAGGAGGAGAGGGGCTGAAACCTTCTCCACACCCTTCGTGGCCATCTGTTCAGAATCTGAGCTCTCTATTCAGAATCTGTTGATTACATCTGGGGAAAAGGATTCTTCTCCTGAAGTGGGGCATCTCTGTGAGGGGAAAAATTTAGCCAGCATTTGCATCTTTTGATGCAAGTTACTGTCAAGTTGAAAGATGGCTTCTGATGGTTGTCAATGCCACAGCCTTGGGGCAAGGAATTTGACTTATAATCAGAAGTAATGAAAATGTGCACTGCAGGATTAGGACTTCGCTTGGCCTGTAAAAAACTTGTGGAGCTTGAATTTATTTGTGTTTTCTTTCAGTGTAATAATCACTCAGGTCTGTGTTCTGGAGCAGATTTGGGGCTGAGAGCATGATGACCCAGCTGCTGAGGGTTGTGTTCAGATGCCCAGCTGTTCTTTCGCATGGGTTCAGGCATGGCTGAACTCTTTTTGTCCCTACTGCCAGATTTTTGCTGAGGTGCCAAAGATGCACTTCCAAAATGTGTAGTTTTTATGCCTATTCCAGTTTGTACAACTGTCATCTAATAATCTTTTATACTAATTGTGTAGAAGAGGAAGATATACAGTGAAAATGCTCAATTTATTCCTGTGGAAAAGAACCATTGGTTCTGTGTTTTCCATACAAATTGAAATTCATCAATACTTCAATTGCTGGTATTCCAGTTCATTTAAAATTCTTCAACAGCTCTTTGAGAAAAAAATAGCAAGTTGTCATTTCAATGTATGCCACCTTTGAAGTCATAATAGATGTTTAAAGGAATCACAGTATTTGTACAGATACAGCTGTGGATCCGGTGCTTGAACTAATATAGTGCAAATAGCACCATGATGCAAGTTGTAATGCAATACAAATGGTCCATTTAATGTATTTCCTATTGTGTTAAGCATTAATCCTATAAGTAGCAACAGAATCATGTTAGACTGAAGATTACTCGTGTTTATACTAGGAAAGTTTTGCTAGCAGTTGGAAAGTTCCTAAGTTAGAATAATTCAACCAATAGTATTCCAGAATATTAGTGAAATAACTTATTAAATGCATGCACATTTGATCCAGTGCCATAATCACCTGCAATTCTAGTCCTAAAATAGTGATAGTTCTTCAAAGCTTATTGTGAAATGTAAAGTAAGCCTCAGTACCTAGCACAAATGAAGCTCCATTTGACATTTTAGACCTCTCAAAAAGAGTGTTTTTTTCCTCCCCCAAAGCCCTATACAAAGTCAGCCTTGGTGCCAGAAGAGTGAGCAGACTCCCCACTGCTTTCCTGTGTTCCAGCATCCCAGAGAAACAGATGCTTTGAAAGCAAGTGAAGTCTGAAGTCCTAGTGTGATGTCGAAGTTCAGAACTGAACATTTTGGAGAACCCAAGCAATTAATTTTGATTCAGGCGCAAACACAAGCCTTGCGGAGACTGTTGGGGGAATGAAGCATCTGCTCACCTTCCAAAATTGTTTGGACCAAGCAATATATTTTGTTTCCAGTTCACAGTGTTTCTGTAAATTTGTTTGTATACATTTGGAGGAACTATCACAACAATTGCTAACAGCTGAGTGATCTAAGCATTGAGAAGTGGAGGGGATGAAAAAACCTGTAACTTCATCAGGATTTGTCTCTTTTTCCAATCTTTGGCTTTGTTTTACATACTCTTGCCTGAATGTGCAGTTCTGCAAAGAACTGCGTTGGAGCCAGATCTGCAGTTTTCAGCGGAAGTTCATGTTTAGGTGGACGCTGTAGCTGGGTGTGCCCACTTGATGCTTCCCCCTTTCTGAATGCCACAGAGCTCATTCCTGACCTGGCCACAGACTAAATTGCCCAACGCTATTTTTCTGCTGTATTGGTGAATTAGTCCAGCTGATCACTCAGGAGGGAGCAAGATGTTGTCACAGAGACAAGGTAATGCAAATCCCCTCCTTCACGTGGCAGCAAGGTCCCAGATTGGTTTACAAATTCACGCTCCCCTTCTACCATATATCACAACAGAGTCCACCTTACTTTGCCATCCCTCGAGCTGTGCAAAAAACCTCCAGAGTAATAGCTTAATGTTCTCCTTTAAATGTTTTTCTTTTTAATTATTTTGTCAAGAAAGCAATAAAGCATCATCTTAAGGAGCTTCTATAAATTCGTGAGGCTAATAAAATCTCTGGATGATGGCACAGGTTTGGAGCAGTTAACATTAAATTTTAATGTATTGGGCCAGTCATTCTGAAATCATTTACTGTTCCTGAGCCCACCACTTGCAGTCAAGCACTGGAGAGCTCCCATATGAAGAGCTACTTGAAACCCGTTGCATGCTCAGTGCCTCACCTTTTCTTCTTTCTTTTCTTTTAACAATTAATATGGGGCACTATTCAGTTATTTTATAGCCTCCATAAAATTAATCCTGTGCTAAGGACCCCCTTTATTTCAGTCATTCGGTTAAAGGTCTTCTGCAGCTCAGAAATCAATTTCTGCTTCTCCCTGGAGTGGCTGGAGTTGCATCTGGGACTAAGGCCAGGGAGGCACTTCCTCTCCCCGTCAGCAGCTATAGTGAGGTTTGTCCCGTAAAACAGCCAAATGTGTTCATGGGGGAGGAGGCCAGATCTGTACCCCAGAGCAGGGATGTACAGCTGAGTAGCTGGTGGTGGAGAGAGGAAAGTGAGAAGGCTTAGGTTTCTGCTTGGGAATCACTGTGTGCAAATCTCTGGGGAGAGGTGGAGCCCTTCCCCTGCAGTATTAAACAGATAAGCACAGCATGGGTGGTGTTAGCATTTCCATTTGTCAGGCCTCAAGAATCTACTCACCTGCTTAACATAGTTAACATATGGCAAAACCTAGTTCTTGAACACTGATTTTCTGACCTTTCTGCTTGTGTCTTTATCATGGGACTCATCTACTGCATTTTGTCAGGAGGGAATTTTACAAGGATGGGCTGACACAGTTACACTTTCCTTAGCAGATAAAACGACCAGGCAGTGTGTGTGTCTTAGCAGATTCCTATGTTACAGTAACCACCTTCTGGCTGTATGATATAGATGCTACAAGGAATTGGGGTTTAATTGTTTATAGCTTCTTGAGGCACAGATAATGCTAATTGTCGCAGATCTTGTTCACATCGCCTATTTAGAAACTGCAGCAATATTATTCCATGAATGTTTTCCCTGCCTGTTTTGTTTTTTATCTGTGTGACTTCCAATGCAGCTGACCTGGGAAGGGCGAACTCCAGCTTGCTCTCTCAAAAGCTGAGTTGTTTTAACACTTAATTTCTGAATTCAGTGATGAGATACAATTTAGTTTGGGTTTTGGCTTGGTTTTTTATGTGTTTTGGTTCCTTTCCACCCACTTCCCTTCCAAAGTAGAAACAGACAGCAAAGGGAGAAAGCACAAACCATAAAAGAAGAAATGAACTGGTAAGACTGAAACCTCATTGACAGCCTCACAAGAAAGACCCATGCAAGTGCTGACTATAATTTTAACCTTAATCTCCATTTTCTGTTTTTCATCTCAGCAGTAGCTGCATCCAGTGACCAGAGCCAGATTCCTATAATTGTTGTGTCTGTAACAGTGGGAGTCATTCTGCTGGCTGTTGTTATCGGTTTCCTTCTCAGTGGAAGGTAAGAGAAGAAGCTGTGTATTTACACTTCTCCAAGTTTTGCAATAACTTTTATCTGACCAGCTGATTAGCGCAATTTAGGCGAGAGCAGCATGTGAACAGAGCTGTCAAGCAGTAGTGTTGTAAAGCAGCGTGAGGGTGGGCTGATTGATCTGTTTGGACAGACAGGAATCGCGAATGTGTGCTCACAGATGTAGTTCACTTCCCAATGATTTTCATCTCTGCGTAGACTGGCCCTGATTATTAGATTTGATTTGATTTGATTCTTACTGGAGTGTTTTCCTATTACTTTAAAAATAAGCAGAACTTGTTGTAATAGGTTAAATATTCTAAAGCCCATATGTTTGCACTCAGACCTTGCAGTGGGCTTTTCTCGCAGAGGAAATGTGACTTCAGGAAAACACTTGTGAAGAAAAAGAGAAGAATTCCATCCAAATGGCTAAATGCCCTAAGTTTGGTCAGGTCTGGATTTCATTTTTCATGTGTAGGATGCTAATATTTTCCCCATGCACTAATAAATTATGCAGAGAGATCCTCATGTGGAGGGAATTGCTCAGCTTTTAGCCATCAAACAATCCCATAGACTTCTCATGTGCTTAAACATAGGCAAGTGATAAAAGGCTGGACTATACAATCTTTGACAACTGTAATGGGAGTTGATGGAACTTGTTGGTGAACAAGGAATTGTGGTTATTGGGGGAAAATCTGGCTTATGTCAGGATCAGTTTGTACTGCGTCACTAAACTTATGTAGCAGCCAACACACAAGACAATTTTTCATATACTACACATGTATTCTTTGCAGTCAGTGCAGTACCTATCAAAACATAGTGCGTTTATTTTAATGGCAGCAGTCAAACAGTGCAGCGACATTCATGCATAGCAGTCTGAGGTGCCATGCCAGCATAGCATCTATTGGTGATGCTGAATTTGTTTTCAAAGCAACATAAACACTTTGGCTTAGAAAGTACCTCACAGTCTTGCTTTCTTGAGCTTGGGTCTAGCAAGGTGACTATGCGTTGCAAGACATTGTGTTAGATAGTTAAAAGATACTGGCAGAGGAACTGCACTGATGCTGAACGTATCAGCTGAGAGTCTTGTTTCAAAGAGGAATTGAAAATGTTTGTCAGTGAGCACACCGCAGTGAAATCCAGCCAGGCTGAACAGCTTTGTCCCCAGTCATACAGCATCTGTAGAAAAGCACAGTTATTTCCTGTCCTGACAGGTATGTGGTTGCCAGACTCCTCTCCAGTAAAGGTCAGAAACTGACAAACACTTCCAACTCAGCTATTCAGGCTCCTGTCATCTGCTTTGAGAGACTTGTTGGGCTTAAAAATAGGAAAAATAAATGCTCTGGTTTGCATGAGAAGCAAGCAGCAGCATGGGGCAGAGTATAAACGGTTATACTAGTGGCTCCAGAAAAGCTGTGGGCAAAAAGACATGACTCTAAACTCTGTGAGCTGGTGTTCAAATCCCTCTTTAAAGGCTGGAGGGTTTGGGTCAGATCCTTGTTCCAGTCAGACAGACAGAGGGATGTGGACTTGACCTCCGTCAGCCTCAATGCATGTTTTTATCAACACAGACAGGAGGGATATTTAGGCATGAATCTCAGGTGGAGGGACACGTGTCCCTTCGTAGCCGTATCCTGTGGCAGCTAGTGGCTGCAGCTCTTCCCACAGGCATTGGACATGATAAGGATCCCTTTGTTGAGGACATGCACTTACACTTGGCCTTTTTTGTTCCTACCCTGCTCAGATCTGAGCAAGCAGTTGCACAACTGAGCCATTTATCAGCAGTTTTAGTTAGCTACGGCCTTCTGTCCTTTGCCCTGATGGGCTTTCCAGGATGTGCTTCCTCTTGGCTCTTTATCCCTCGACATATTTATAAAGCCCTTGACTGCTGGAGTTTTATCCTCTCCTCTCCTGCTGCCTTAATCTTCCTGTCCTGTACTCTCACCAATCTACATGAAACTCCAGGCAGCTGTAGGCTCTTGGGAGCTTCTCCATGGTACCACGCTGAGTGTAGAAGCAGCAAGTGCAGGGATTGGAGGAATCTGCTGTTTCACATTCATTCTCTTTGCTATCTGGATGGAGAACCAAGCAAAGCAGGCCTGCCTAGGAACGAGCTGTGAGGAAATGGTTAAGGAAGATAAACTTAAAATTGAAGCAGCTGCCATCCCACTTTGACATGGGCCTTGGCCTGAGACTGCTGTTGCAGACCTACAGGTACTATATCTCCATGGGTTGTATTGTCTCTGGGGAACAAAAGAGGAACTACATCCATTTTCAGATTTTTAATCTTCCTTCTAGACTGGTAAGAACCCAGTCTCTCTGCTGGAGGTGCTAGAGGAGCCTCTAGCGCCAAAGTTTCGTCTGTCATTAGAAAATTATTTTCAATGCTGCAGGAGTTCTTGGCCACTTTGAGTTCCTGTGTATTTTAAAGCCTGTCTACTGTGTGGAGTAACTCTTCAAAGCAGAAAAATAAACCCCAGAAACCGAAAAAGCTGACAGCCGAATTGAAATTAAAGCAAAACAAAAAAATGTCTCCTGTTTGGAAGAAGCAGAAATGCCAATGAAATGTGTCAGTCATGCAGCTTTGCCTTGGATACAGTTTCAAGACAATTCGTGGAGTCACTCTCATGCTGTGACATTGCAGAGATGATAAATGCATTCCAAGTCATAGGATAATCCCTTTCTGAAGCTGTAACCTGTTTCCGTTTCTGGAAGACTTTCCTTTATCTTTAGAGAGGTTATGTGTTCCAGCGCTTAGTACTAGGGAGTTAAATTTTCTTTTCTATTTCTTTCTTATAATTACTTTCAGACATTTTGAACTCCAGGATTTGCTTCAGCTCAAATCACGCTGCTTTCTATGCCGAGCAAGCTGTGCAGAGTCCAAGCACTTTCTCCTCTCTGCATAATGTAGGAGGGCAGGTACTGTCCAACAGCAAAGCTACAAAAAAAACCTCTCAGTCTGCTGCAGTGAGGACAGAGACCGGCACTGCTGCAAATGAGCATCTCATCTCTGGCTCCGTGCTGTTCCCGGGCACCATGGGAGTTCCTAGGCACCTCAGAATTAGGATATTGCTCTATGAGATGCTCTATAGTATATCTCTTTGTGCTAGCCCTCCCACGTGCTGAGCAAAAAGCAAGCATCTCAGGAGGCAGGGCACTGAGAGCACTTGGTGGAACTGGCAGAAGAGTGCAGGGACTTGAGAGCAGCCCTCCTCATGCTCGCAGTTCAGAAAGTAATTTCCTAGCAGTATGCCTCAGAAGTTTGCTGGCTCCACAGGCTTTTTATTTTCTGTTGGGGCCCTGGAGGCAGAAGTTTCCACACCTCTTCCCTTTTTGCTTTCAAATATCTCTACAGCTTCTCGCTTCTTTTGAACAAATGTAAATAACAGCTTGGCATTTCCCGTTGGCTGCTGGCCCTAAACCAAAGGTCAACTGAACGTTAGTCACAGTGGCATTTCCACAAGCCAGCGTCCATCTGTGGAAATGAGCTTTGTTTCTGAAGCTGGAGGTTCCTGGGAATTTGAAACTGAATGCGCTTTGCCCTAAACAATTAAACTGCATTTCTGAGCTGATGTACTTGCAGATGCTCAAGAAAACGCTTCCTGTAAATAATGTGTCCTCTGACCAAGGTCATAAATACCGCTAAGCAAAATAGCTGGGAACTGTTGAAGTCTCCTGCTCTGTGCATCAAGGGCGTATTAATTATATAACAATCAGGGTTACAAATCAAAGAGATTCACTAAATCAGACTGTACTTGTCTGGGCAAAAAAAGAAAAGTGGAATGAAAATCTATTATTAAACCAGAAACAAGCATTAAATTAAAGAACATAGAGTTATTATCTTTGTTTTCTTAGGACTGTGTTATTCTCAACAGCAGAATACGTTTTACAGATACAGGAGGGCTAAATTTTGCTTTCTTAGCAATGCTTGAATCAGTTAGCATTTGCATTGTTGTACCTTATTGAAGTATATAGTAATTTAAAATTGTTAGACTTTTGCTTCAGTTGTCAGAAAATGCCAGTAGCCAGGATGTGTGCTACACATTGCAAAGGGAATGAGGTGCTGCATCTGTTGTTGTGGTATCAGCCCTCAAATCCTACAAACCCAGACAGGAGGTGAGGGTACAGCCCAGCCAAAGCAGGTTTCCATCAGCCTGCGAGGGAGATCCACAGCTCCAGAGCAGTTTTCCCTGCATTGTCCCTCGGGCGCTGTTTACAAAACTGAAGGGATATTGGGGTCAGTCTTAAGAACCTGCAGCTCCCTGCAGTCCTCCAGGCAGTAGAGCTTTGCAGTATTAAACAAAGGAATGGACTTTTACAGAGTAAAATGGGAATGCTATTAGGTCAGTGCTAAGCATGTTTGCGAAAGCTGCTCAGAAAAACTAAGAAGTGTACTGTATGTCTGCATTTATAGCCAGCCACCCATATTGACTTTTCAATTTAAAGTGATCTCTTAAAGAACTGGACAGAGATTTTTATAGAACTTAAGAAAAATAAATTTGAGGCAGCAAAAATTGCGCCTCTCCCTATGCTGTGCATACATAGAAAGACACTTCTGGCAGGAAACTAGCTTTGGAAAGACAAAGCAAAGACAAATCTTCCCACCTGGGTGTTGGCAATTAGAAGCTTCTGCACCGGAGTATCCATCCTTGACCTTAGCTGATTTAGACTTTTAAATATCAGCCCCTGTGGTGGCAGAGGGCTAGTTTCTGGACACAAATATGTGCATCTTGTTAAAAAGTGACTTTCATAGAGTAGAGAGGTTGAGAGGACTGTAGTGTGTATCCCAGGTCCCAAGCCAGCATGTGCAGCCTTCTGTGATGTGGAAGGTCAAAATGAATTTTTCCACAGCCCCCTCCTGACCCGCCACATCTTTTTCCAAGATGTGTCAGGGCTTAAAATAGTTCACTTCTTCAATATTTCCATAGGAAACAGGAGGCAGGTCATACATAACATTTTTCATAGAGAGAATTTTTCCGGCATGAGTCACA